CCGCGCCCCCGCCCCCCCCGCCGCACCGCCGCCCCCCCGCCGCCCCCCACCCCCCCGCCGCAGGCCCTTCCTCTCCTACGGCGACTCCGGGCCGCCGCAGCGCGAGAACAGCGGCTCGTGGGCCGGTGCGGTCGGGGTCGAGGAGGCGCTGCTCCCCGCTCGCGAGGCGGAGCAGAGGGTGAGCGGTGAGAGTCGCGTGGCTGAGAGTCGTAAGCTGCGAGTCGGAGTGGTACAGGCGGAGGCGGAGCGAGCCCTCTACCTGCGCCTCATCCACGAGTTCGGCCGCCTCCTCCTCGCGGCCGGCTCAGAGGAGCTGGTGCTCGTCCATCTCAAGTGAGACTCGCCCGTACTCTAGGCCTCCTCCTCACGCCGGGCGCGTCGATGCGCTCCGAGGAGCCCGGCCTCTTCCGCTGCGTCTTCTCTGCGGCGACGGAGGAGGGCTTCGAGGTGGCGCTGCAGCGCTTCGCGCGCCTCGCCGCCGCGCCTCGCGCAACATGAGGCGGCTCTTTCGGTGCGCGCTGAGACACAGCATGGACACCAAGGCGCTCGCGGCCCGCGTTGTCCGAACTTGGTGGCTGTTTCCGAGAAGAAGCGCAGACCGCCCCCGCCGCGGCCGTCAGTTCACAGCGCCGACGGAACTTTCACACATCAACAAACACGTCACAAACACGTACACGAACACGTGTGGGACGTGGCATGATTCGTTGATACACACCCTCACCGCGCGCATGTTTTACATGTTCTTTTGTGACTTCATATACGTATATGGAGAAGTTTGTGTTCGACTTCGAGACCTCGCGTCTCGCGAGCGCGGGCATTCACACCTCCCTCGGCAGAGTCGGCAGTGTGGTTTGGGCAGGGGTGGGCAGTGTGGGTTTCACACCCGGGGCAGGTAGGGGATCGGGCAGGGAAGTTGTGGCTTGTGCGGCAGTGTGCGGGCAGGGTAGTACGGCAGGGCAGGTCAGGGTAGTTGGGGTCATAATTGCAGGGCTGAGATTCGGGGTCCAGGTGGTGAAAAAAAGGGTTACAAATTAAAAGTTTTCAAAAGGGGCGCAAGTTACGCGGCGAGGGAAAAGGGAGCAAAGAGGGGCACCAAAAGGGACAAAAGGGACGCGGTCACGCCAGCGGCTGGCAGCGGTGGTCAGGGCGACCAAGCCGGCGATCCCGCTACAAAGGGGAGACAATTGCTGTGAACATGGAATTTAGATACCAATCTCAGTGAGATGTGTGAAGAGGACGGCCGACCGACGAAACACACACGCGCGAGCTTGCGAGCTCCCGGCCAGTATTCGCCCGTCTACTCCGCCTACCTCGGCTGCTTTGGGTGCCACACCACTCTCGCTCGTCGTCCCGAGCGGTGCGCCGAGCGTGGTGTGTGTGTGGAGACGTTTACCTCCTACCTTACCTCTCTCTCTGTCGCTCTGCTGTCGCTGCACAGGAGCGGCAGCATCAAACACTGCGCTCGTAGATGCCCCAGTCGGCCGAATCCATAGGCGCGTCGAACTGCGCCTGCGTACACTTTCTCCCGACGAGCCCACCAGACCACGTGTGGCGATACCCGAACGCGACGCACGTGGAGTCGGCGAGGCACGCGTCAGCGACGCCATACCTCAGTCGGCGATAATATTGGTGGTTCCGCAGAGCTTTCCAGAGCCAACTTCACCGTTGCGGGTGTCCACGCCCAGCGCAAAGGTGAAGGACTCGTACGGGTCTGGAGTGGAAGGGGGCGATGGCGGCGGCGGCGGCGGCGGCGGCGACGGCGACGGCGGTGACGGGCATCGCCCATCGCGCCATCGACAGCTCTGGACTGCGCCTCACCACTGACCGGGAAGGCCGCCGAGTGGGTCAGCACCGGTCGCACATTGTGGCAGCAGTCAGCAGTGCATGTCTGATAGCTAGAGCAGCAGCGTCAGGGTCGCAGGGTCGGATCGTGTCAAGCCTCTCGCCCGGCCGGCCGCGTGCAGACGTCGGCCTGTCTGCTGTCTGGAGTGATCTGTCGGCGGTCAGTACGACCGATCAGGTTGGAGGTTTCTCGTGATTGGAGGGTCTATCTGTATGTACTCCTCGAGATCTCTCCAAATCTGCCCTCTGTTAGACCAGGTTAGATCGGGAAGTCGGTGCTAGTGGAGACTAGTGGAGCCGGGGCCCCGTTTCCGCACTGCGGCGCGGCGCACGGTGCCTCCGGGGGCCCCCGCGCCACCCCACCAGAGGCTAGCTCCAGCCGCAGCCCCACCCGGCCGCCCGAGAGTGTTCCCGCAGCTAGGCAGAGTCCAGAGAAGACTAATCCTGGGGGAAGCAACCGGATCTCAGGTGGTGAAAAAAAGGGTCTAAAGAGACAAATTAAAAGTTTTCAAAAGGGGCGCAAGTTACGCGGCGAGGGAAAAGGGAGCAAAGAGGGGCACCAAAAGGGACAAAAGGGACGCGGTCACGCCAGCGGCTGGCAGCGGTGGTCAGGGCGACCAAGCCGGCGATCCCGCTACAAAGGGGAGACAATTGCTGTGTCCTGTGAGAATTGCCCGTTTTATTTATTTATTTATTTATGTCCTGTGAGAATGAACATGGAATTCGAATAACAATCTCAATATAATGTGAGATGCTTAGGGTACCCCTAGGGTTCTGAGGGCCGGATTTTTTTAAGACCTTTTAAGAAATGAGGAGGTTTGGGGGCTCAAATTGTCATTTAAGAGATTGCAGGCACGGGGGGTCTCTCTTTTAAGACCGTTTAAGAAAATCGGCCTCACCGGCACGCGTCGCTGCGCGGAGGCTGCGTTCCGCGCCGTTTTCTCCAATACTGCCGTTATTAGGCACAAACCCGCCTCTGAAGACACATCTGTAAGTCTGGTGCACTGGCAGGAGCCATACTCGCATAGGGGACGCGTGCCAGCTGACTGTAGCCAGCTTCCCCCGGCCTCCGGCGTCTACTGGGGAGCCTCCCGGACCATCGACCTCGGGAGCTCTCCCGCAGCGTTTAAGCGTTTAAGACCGTTTAAGGAATCGGCGGCCCAGCAGCTCTTAAAACCGGCCTAGGCCGGTTTTAAGCCGTTTAAGCCGCAGGCGCCCCAGGGCCCACCCTTTTAAGCCTAGGGGTACCCTAAGGTGAGATGTGCGTGAAGAGGACGGCTCACTACGCGCGTCCGGCGTCGCACCGCTCGCAGGGCCCGTTGCCGTAGCCGTGCACAAAAATCAAAATATGCCGCGCACAAACTAATTTGAACAGTGCACAGTCAACAGATCTAGAGTCCATGCACCATGGAAGACAATATTCGGAAATTCGTGTGTGCAGCACCCTCCTTCCCCCCCCTCAGAACTTTGGCAGCAGCGCGTTCGTGCTCGCGAGGTACTCGGCGTACTCCGCCTCGGCACCGTACTTCTCGCGCTGCTTGCCCTCCAGCCGCTTGGTCGCCGATGTCATGATGAAGAAGATGCCGGCGAGGCCAAGCGACGCGGCGACCAGACGCAGCGCACGCGCCCACAGCGGAAGGCCGGCGGCGGCCGCGATGGATGGCGCGCCCGCGAGAAAGGAGCCGGTCCAGAAGACCAGCTCGCCAAGGTAGTTTGCGTGCCGGCTCTGCGCGTAGAGCCCTCCCATGTAGAGCCTGTCCTTGGCGCCGCCCGCCCGCAGCGCCATCTTGAAGCGCGACTTTTGCTGGTCCGCCACCGCCTCGTACACGAGGCCGGCCGCAGCGACGGCGGCTCCCGCGGCCGAGACGCCAGCGACGGCGGCGGAGGCGCCGGCGAGCGGGGCCGCCTGGAGGTGGAAGAGGAGCGGCGACGCGAGCAGCGAGTAGAAGAGCGCGGTGCTCAGCAGGATGGGCGTGCGCTGCAGGCGGGGCGTCTTGTCGAGCGGCTTGAGGCGCGCCTCGCCGTCGTACGCGGGCTGGAATTTCTGGCGCCACAGCAGGAAGGCGAAGAGGCGGGCGCCGTACGCAGCAACCAGGCCAGCGTGGGCCGCGAGTAGCGGTGAGCGCGGCGCTGGAGCCGCTAGCAGCACGGCGCCGCCGATGCCGAGCATCGAGAGGCCGTACGACAGAGAAAAGATATAAGCCTGTCGGATGTAGCAGAGCGTGCCGCACGCGGCGGCGATGCCCGTGGCGGTCGGGAGGGCCATGCCGCCCGCGAGAGCGCCCGCCAGCGAAGCCTGGAGCGCGGCGCCTCCACCCCGCAGAACGTGCACCGGCCGCGCTGCTGGGCGAGGAGGCAGCCCCAGGTGCGGACGAGCGGCGGCGAACGCGTCCGCCGAGGCGAGAGAGAGGAGGAGGAGGGATCGCGGGAGCATTATGGTCGTCGGTGTCCCCCTCGAAGGCTGACTGGCTGTTCTCAGGCTGGCGGGGGCGAGTAGACGCCCTGGTACCGGGTAGAGCCACGCCTGCTACACTGGGGTGCGAGTTAATGCGCGGTTGGGGGGGTCTGAAAAGGGGAGCTCCCTCTCTCCCCACCCCGAGGACCTCTGCCCAAGCTGTTGGTATAGAAGTCTAGAGGGCCTCAGGGGCTATAGAGTCACACCTAGGAGAGGGGGTAGCACACCTTGTGGGCCGCACTGACCCTTCTCCCACGTGCCCTTGCCCGCCCCTCTGACCGCCGCCCGAGAGGCCCGACTTTGCGGGGCTGGTGAGAGCCCCCACCGTTGCGCCCTCACCTCACGCTGACATATCCTTTGGGAATGCCCATGGACTCTAGGGACCTGGGGGCAGCTTTGCCCGCGGGTGCCATGCTAGGCTATGGTAGCCATTCTTCCAGATTCTCCGGACAGGCCGCTTAAGCGGCCAAGGTGGCCTCCGCTCAAGGATCGTTGGGATTTTCTGGTGACTCAGGAAGGACGGCGGCGGGCTTGAAGACACTGAGCCGAGCGCGCCGGCGGCGGTCCGCCGCCGGCGCGCTCGCTTCGGCGGATGGCTGAGCGGCACAGTTTCTGCATTCTGGCCGCCCGGCCTGCGAGCAGTCGCCGCGAGACGATCGAAGGCGCTCAGTTCAAGCGCGCCGCCATGCCAGATCTCGCCCCACGCCCCGGCCAGACCGGGCAGTGCGTGCAGGAATGATGCAGGCATGGTGGGTGGGTGTGGTGAGCACGCCAGCGGCACCGCTGCGCACTCTCAGGGTCGCAGCCGCCTATCTCGTGAGGGGCGTGGTTTGGGGCGGGTAGCTCCGGCCCAACCAATCCGGCCGCCGACGGGAGGGCGAGCAAAAGGGAGAGCACGCGCATGAGCCAAAATGTGCCCGTCGTCGCGGTATTGAACGTTCTCTACGACCCTCTCACCCGGTGTCGACCCGCGGCGCCCCTCCGCGGGGCGGCCCCGGTCGAACGGTGGGGCAGCGTGTACTCTGGTCACACGACCACAGCCCTTGGTGCTTGGAGATACCAACGCGCTATCCCAACACTGCTGCACTGGCTGCTGTGCTGCCGCACTGGCTGCTGTTGCACCTGAGCCGCGAAGGCAAGCCGTGCGACCGCGGCCGCAGGAGCAGGCGGACATCGCGCTTCCAGCACACGTGAGAATATCGCCGCTAAGATGGCCCATCTCGAGTACGTCGTCGGCAGCGCGGATGCTCGCCCGCACGGCCCGCCGTCGGTCGTGGTCTCGTCTTATTCTGGCGAGTAGAGGCCCCGCCCACCCAGGGTACCCCTCTCGAGGGCTCGCCGGGGCTCTGCTCCAAGAGACCTCGAGAGAGCGTGCGTGTGCCTCTACTCGCCAGCGTCTTATTTCTGTGTCAGTGCCAAAAAAGAAAGAAAACAGACAACCCAAGGGAGGGATGGGAGGACCGTGGTAGCAGGTTATTTTTTCTTTCGGGTCGGGTCGGGTTGGGGCGGGGTTGCTCGGCCTCGGGTCGGGGTGGGGCGGGGTTGTGGGGTGGGGTGGGGATGTCGGGGTGGGGAGTGGGTGGGCGCCGGAGTGGGAGTGGTGGTGTGACTGCTGGTGCGGGCGACGGCTTCTGAGGAAGCCGTCGCCCGCGCCTCGCCTGTCGCGTGAATCGTGTCGTGGGACACTCTCATGTACAATTCCCTTCGTAAGATTCTTTTTGTGTGTGTGCCAGTCCGCGCCAGTCCGCGCCCTTGTCGTGCCAGTGTGCTGTGAGAGAGTCAGTGGAAAAATTCTTTTTGTCAGACTTTGCACTGCTTTGCACGGCGTGGATACTCAGACTGTCAGCCGCGACACGCTCCTCTGCCGCCGGCTGAGGGACCGCACGGCCGCCTCACGGGCGGATGGGCATCGCCGACGCGCTCGAGTCGCTCCACCTCTACCGCAAAGTCCCGCGAGACCTCACCGATGCGACGCGGCTCGGCGGCGCGATTTCGCTGGCCACCGCGTTTCTGATGGCATACCTCTTCCTCTCCAACATCGCCGAGTTCATGTCGGTGCGCAGTTCCACCGACGTCGCGCTCGACGACTCGACCGAGGCCAAGATGCGGATCTACTTCAACATCACGATGGAGAGGCTGCCGTGCCAGTTTGCGTCGGTCGACGTGTCTGATGTGATGGGCACCTCGCTGACCAACGTGACGCAGCACATCATCAAGTTCAAGGTTGCGCCCGAGGCGGGGCACCGCAAGGCCGAGTACTACCGCGAGCGCGACGACGACGTCGAGCACGAGGCCCTCGCCGAGAAGGAGCAGGGCCGCCTCGACGCGCGCTCACCCTCACCCTACCCCTCGCCGAGCGCTAGGTCCTGGACGACGAGGAGCAGGGCTACCTCGACACGCTGCCCGCGACGCTCCCGCAGCTCAACGACCACTCCTTCGAGCAGACGATCAAGTCGTACGACCTCGTCCTCGTCGCGTTCGGTGCTCCCTGGTGTCCGTGGTCGCAGCGGCTCGACCCAGTCTGGCGAAAGACCTGGGAGCTCCTCAAGCAGAAGCCGTACCGAGACCACGTGCGTGCCCTGCACCCGCGCTCTGCCAGGGCACCGCCGCCGCCGCACCGCCGCCGCACCGCCGCCGCACCGCCGCCGCACCGCCGCAGCACCGCCGCTGCCACCGCCGCTGCCACCGCCGCTGCCACCGCCGCTACGGAGAGACGGGTCAGGAGAGGGGTCAGGAGAGGGGTCAGGAGAGGGGTCAGGAGAGGGGTCAGGAGAGGGGTCAGGAGAGGGGTCAGGAGAGGGGTCAGGAGAGGGGTCAGGAGAGGGGTCAGGAGAGGGGTCAGGAGAGGGGTCAGGAGAGGGGTCAGGAGAGGGGTCAGGAGAGGGGTCAGGAGAGGGGTCAGGAGAGGGGTCAGGCAGAGGGGTCAGGCAGAGGGGTCAGGCAGAGGGGTGGCAGGAGGGTGGCGCGCCACGACCCGCTCGCACCTTGTCCGGCTCCGGCTGTAGCTGCCCCTGCCCCAGCCGCCCCCTCGCCCCCTACCCTTCCGCAGGTCCGGATCGGGAAGGTCGACTGCACCGCGTCGGACTCGCACTCGACTTGCCAGAAGCACAGCGCCGCCCCTCCCTCCCTCTCCCCCCGCCCGCACCCCTCCCCACGCCGCTTCTACGCCGTCTCGTAGGCACCACATCCACGCCTTCCCCACGATCCGCATCTACCGCCACCGCCAGGCGACCCCGATACGCCTCTCGTGCACCATCACACACACACACACGCACGCACATGCACACACACACCCCACACACCGCCCGAACCTCCCCTCCCCTCCCCGCACCCGCCCGCCTCCCCTCGCCGCCCGCCCCCTTCACCTCCACCCCCACCCACCACCCACCCACCTCCCCCGCCTGCCTCCCCACCCCCGCCCCCGCCCGCCCCCTTGCGCCCCCACCCGCCCCCACCCGACCCCCACCCGCCCCCGCCCTCCCCGCAGGTCCACTCGCATGAAAACTACCTTGGCAACCGCGACTCCGCCGTCTTCATCGAGTTTGTCGAGGAGGCGCTGCCGAAGCACCTCGTCACGGGGGGCGGCGGAGCGCCCCTAGACGCGGACAAGGAGCGAGGCTGCGGCGGGCTCCGAGGCAAAGCCATGTCCGCGACACGTCCACGCCCGTCTCCTGCAGGCTGCGGCTGCGGCTCGGTCGGTCGAGAGCCACACGCTGGCAGGCGCCGCCTGCGGGGGGGAGGGGAGGGGAGGAGGGGGAGAGGAAAGGGAGGGGAGGGGGGAGCGGGGAGAGGGAGGCCCTCCCGCGCTCACGCCTCCCCCCCCCCCCCCTCCCCCAGGCGAGGGCTGCCAGCTCACAGGCGAGCTCGAGATTAGCTCGAGATTAGCTCGAGAGTAGCTCGAGATTAGCTCGAGAGTAGCTCGAGATACGAAGCCGGGGTGGTATGCTGATGGCTCGGCTCGCTGTCGCTCTCACCGGTAGGCTCGCTCGAGATCTCGCGTGTGCCCGGCTCTTTCCGCATCTCCGCCCAGTCCGACGCGCACTCGTTCAACTCGCGCGTGATGAACGTCTCGCACCACGTGCGGACCCGAGATGCACCCGAGATGCACCCGAGATGCACCCGAGATGCCACCCCGAGATGCACCCCGAGATTGACCCCGAGATTGACCCCGAGATCGACCCGAGATCGATCCGAGATCGACCCGAGATTGACCCGAGACTGACCCGAGATCGACCCGAGACTGACCCGAGACTGACCCGAGATTGACCCGAGATCGACCCGAGATTGACCCGAGATTGACCGAGTTGGAGCTGACCCGAGAGATCTCCCGCTCGAGAGGATCATGCCACCCCCCCCCCCTTCGGGGCAGGTGGACAAGCTCCTCTTCGCATACACAGACGAGCGGCCAGCGAAGACTCACAAGGCTCGCGACGCCCTCCCCACCCTTCCCTCTCCCCCTCTTCCCGCCACACCGCAGCACCTAGCCGCACCACCACCGCCGTCCGCTGTGGTCACCTCGACCGCAACCTCCCCTGAATCTCCCCTCCTTCTCCCCTCCCCCCGAGCCCTCCCCAGAACCTGCCCCCCTCCCCCCTGCAGGTCATCTCGATCGAGGAGCGGTCGAGCCTGTACCAGATGGGCTTCATGATGGACCAGGAGCTCGCGACGCTCAAGCACTACCTCAAGGCCCCCACCCCCACCCCCACCTCCCTCCCCGCGTCCCCATCATATCCCCGCGTATCACGCCCCCCCCCCCCCTTCCC